TTATCTATTTTCTCAACCCTAACTCTATACGAGGTTGGTTGTAACCATAAAAAAAATCTAAATTACCCTTTTTGCTTTCTATAATGACTTCAGATTGTAACATAAAACTACATTTGTTTATCCTAAATAGCTTACAACTCATAACAGTATACATCTGTTCTACTTAAATTTTATTGTTTTACTTCCTTTTGAACTGTGTCTAACTGATAATCCTGCCACACAAGCTATAAGTCACTTGGTGAATGCATAGCTCATGTTACTCTATTGAATTACATTGGGCATGGGCTGCTCGCGAGCATACGTCATGAAATTTTTTATTATCATTATTGTTTTTTTTTATTTTACCTAATTTGACCTCATCTAAATTAAAAAGTTTCTAATTTTTACATTTGCTGTTGACTGTTGGTGAAACTTAACCCTGCTTTTTTATACTAATGGTACTACTGCACTAAATTTTTTTTATTTAATTAAATAATGCACCTAAGAATACAGAATAATAACATACAATGTCCTATAATTATCAGAATACTTCTGGCTTTCTAACTATATGATAAGACCCAATAAAAATTAAGCTAAGCTTGTCGATGTATTTCTTGTGGGAACTGGAAGCAAAATAGACAGTTCTCTGTACATAAAACAACATAATGTAATACTTCATTTGATAGATTAAAACTTTGGCTTTCTATTGGTTGTAAAGAATGTTGCATTAAACAACAGACAGAACTGTTTACAATTTGTGAAAGAGAGGATGTGACAGGTGTGTAGCAAGAGGGGTCTGGTTTTCTACTTTATCGTTCTATAACAAAATATGATTGAAGACTATAAAAATTATGCTTTGTCTGAGTAATAACAATATTATAACATAATTTATGTTAAATTCTGTACTTCTTGAAGGGGTGGTAAATGAATTATAGAGGGAAGATTCCACTGGACAACAATCTTTCAACAATTATTTTTGGACAATGGAGTTTTGGTTTGGTACTCTTTGTGCAAACACATTGAAGGTTTCTAATTGTTGAGACTTTCAAAGCTAGATGCCAATCCCCAAGAAACTGTTGGATAGAAGAAAACTGGTGTTCCACTTGTGCTATTGACACAGAACAAACTAGGAGTATTTGTGCTAAATGTAGAAAATTAAGGTACTTGTCATTCTTTTCATTAGCATCTTTTTCTATACTAGAAATAGTTTGTCCTTTTTGTGATGACACACAATGTCATGTGTAATCTTCATCCATTCCCTTTCAATGCCAATGTCATGTGTAATCTTCATCCATTCCCTTTCAATGCCAATGTCATGTGTAATCTTCATCCATTCCCTTTCAATGCTTGACAGGGCACACCCTTTCTTTTCTAACATTTGCTTCAAGTGCTCTGTGATAACTTGTAGTTCTTTAAATCCATGTTCCAACAAGGAGCCCCCTAGTGGCACAGTTGTATGTCTGCAGACTTACACTGCTAGAAACCGGGTTTTGATAACTATGGTGAGCAGAGCACAGATAGCCCTTTGTGTAGCTTTGTGCTTAATAAGAAACAAACAACATTCGACAAGGCATCTGGATCAGTTGGGAAGTTGTCTTGGTCAAAAAATATCAGCTGCCTGTACAACAAGGTCATCCATCAAAAAGGAAAATCTACTGCTAATGCATGTTATTATTTTATCTGTGGTTTCAGCAGCAACTTTCTTGAAAAAAGCCACATCTTTTTAAACAAGGTTAAGTTTTACACTTTTGTATATTAATGTGTGTGGTTCATTTGCAGAACCAATACTCAGAATGCAAGAATTTATTTTGTGTGAGAACCAGGAGATTCCTTCTTGCTCCTTAATATAGCCTGTGCAAGTACAACATTGCTCTTCATGTGAGAGATAGGTATCTTATATTTTTAAGCCTGGAAACTCTGTGATCTAAAACAGTACACCACTAATAGGAATATATGTCAACTAGTTTATAATGGTTTAAGGTACAAAACATGACACTAAGTCTATGGCATGTACATCTGTGAAATATGTTCCTCTGAAAGCATCTTTAAGTGCAAGTTTCAAATGGTGTGCAATACAGTGTACTTTTATCATCCAGAAGGCAGATTACTTAAGTTTGGTCATGACAGCTTTAACCTCACCAAAATTTACTGAAGCATCATCTGCTGCTGAAGACATTAAACTCCAACTGAGGATTAGTCCATGATCAGTGCTGCATCATGCACTTCACTGGCATCACATCTGTTTGTTTTAGCAATCTTGTAGGGTAAAATCTTTAAAATTTGGTGTCAACCAAGAAATGAAATAAAAAATGGAAGAAACAAAACGTTTTCATAGTAATTGTCATAATGTCAGTTTGAGGCAGACACCAGAACTTGAAGGCTTCAAAATCATCACTCAGTTCCTGCCATCTTAAGTATTGGAATTTTGGGTGATGTTGAAGAGTTTCTCCATTCTATCCTTGACATTCTCATCAGTTGCAACAAGAGATTTATATGTATCTGATTCATCAAGGGGACATCTGTATTTATGGCTTTCAGGTATGTCTTTGAGGTTGCATGACCTTTGGCAGTGATTTTTTTTTTACATTTTCTGTTCCTAAAACACAGGCATCCAGATCACACATTTTTAGTTGTCTACTGTGCAATGCATTACATGCATCAGGTTTTTTTCCTAACCCTTGAGGAACCTTAGTACTTTTTCCTACATAACTTGCACCACACCTTGGAAACAAATCTGTTTTCTTCTATATACCCCAATCAATCAAATTCCCAGCTATTGACTGTCTCAAACTTTGAATTATGAAGTTTTTTCCTACTTGCACCAGAATGAATTTCCCAGAAATCAGGTATGCCCACTTCTTCTTAAGGAACTGTAGCTTCAGCTTGAATAGATCTAGGAGTGTTGTTGTCATAGCTACAGTATAGTAAGAAATAAGAATATGGTATGAGTGCTGTGGTACTTATTTATCTCATGTGAAATAAATTTTCTACAAATTGTGGGTTACTTATCACAATTAAGTTTAAGGTTATATCACTAACTTGTATTTTAAGTCTTGTTTCTTCATTAATATGTTAAATTACAAGGGAATCATCAACTTAGTACGAAAGAATAACTTGGAATGTGCTGCATAAAGAATCTGCACTGTTGTTATCACATGGAAATTGCAGGCCCGATCATTTTACTTTTCACGTAGCACATACAAAGGTTTAGAGATATGAAGAGGCATGAACAATACTATGAAACATTGTCTTGCAAGTTGCATGGTGCTAGCCTTAGGCTAACTTTAATCACAAGCGAACTTAGACTGCAAATATTTCGGAACATGCTGAAAACAAAATTATCAATATCTGTCAGTGAACATATACATATTTTGGTTTAGGTAGTGACAAAGCTTCATTCAGAATTCTCTACAAACCGTGTATTCATAACTTCTGTTGTTGCACATTCATCTCAACCGTGTGTCAGACTGAGCATAGTCAGTAACTTAAGCCTAAGACTAGTTTATGTGTAAGCTAGCCTAAAGCTGTAATGCACTAAGTATCTCATTTTTGACTGATTTGCTTAAAATTTGAAAGTAATCCATTCACTTACCAATTAAAAGTTTTCCAGCTTTTGGCATTTAGATGCTACATCCTAACATTTTGCAGCAATCTACTGTTTCAGGCATTCTTTTCTTGGCATGCTCAAGGAGCATGTGCAAATGTACAGAAACAGTGTTACGTGCTGACTCAGTCAGTGTAACATATAACTAATTGATTGAATTCTTCTGTTCATATTATACATGTTGTGCCTCTGTGAATGAGCAGATCGTTAGAATAGATATATGTGTTATTTCTTGTGAGTTAGAGGTAGTGCACTGTAATTGATTTTTGCCAAGCAATAGGTATTCATCCAAACTTTATGTGTATTGAGAGAAATGTGGTAAACTTCACTCTCTTCCCATCATGCTTAATCAACATTTCTTGTATACAAATAAATTTTGTTTATGTAAGTTGTGATATCAATTCATGTGACTGTGGACTGCCCAAGTATGAATAATACAAACTTTAATCTTAGGGGACAATGGCCATGAATAGTGCATATTTTTTAGAACACCATGGCCATTAAGGAAACATGGTGGCAGTGGCCATCATGACTGTTGTGTATTTTCAGCCCTGTGGTAGTCTAAACTTGATTATGAGTGTTAAGTTTATTTTTTCAGACCAATTTTTCCACATACTTTAATTATTAGTTTCTTCACAGCAGTGTTCTTTGCTAGGTAGCCTATTAAAAATTTTAACTTATTTTTTAAATATTGGAATAACAATCAATGAATTTGGGTTTTCCAACAAAATCCACTGTTTGATCAGAAGTTGATGTGAAAGTGATTCATTATGGTATTAACAACTTAACTATTGTCAGTGTTTGGATTTTAACTGTATTGAATACTGCAAGAGCATACATGATTTTTTTTGTTAATATAACATTCAAAATATGATTGTGTTTTTTATATAATTGTCTCAAAGATATCAGGTATGCCTTTTTTTCAGAGAGAGAGAAGATTATACTGCTCTGAACTAAAAAAGTCATGGTAGCATACAGTGACTAACTTACTACAACTTAAGTGGAATGGTGGCAATTATTTTTGCTTTAAAAGGAATAATTAGTTAAATAACCTGATTCATAATGATTTTTAGCATGAAATCATGTCTCTTCAATGTGTAACTGATATTTTTGGTTCTGTTTCAAATGTGTTTCTTTATTGGGAATCATGAAAATCACATTAATCAAAATTTTCAATTCTGGATCTGGCCCTTGTTTCTTAATGCAGTTGGTAATGTATCAGAGTCTAAATATTTGTCTGTGTGTATGTGGAGTGGCTCTGATATATATAAGTAGAAGTCAATCTGTTGTTGTATATAAATTGTAACTAACTTGAATGTGTGAATTTTATTGTTATGTGTTTGTTCTTAAAGTGAAATACTGTAATTCACTTGTATATATCAGTGTTTAACTTGTTTCTTTTTGTGTTTGATTATAGGGTATTACCGAGTCTTCACTTGTGAGAATGGGTGAGTTATATTTCCACCTTATTATTTAACACTTACATTGAATTCATTTCCTTTTTTTTTTTTCTTTTCAGTATTTTGTGTTCTTTGTCAAATATTCATGATAATGGGTGGTATAAGCTTGTATCTGAGATTTTCATGAGTTCACAATGTGGATTACGTTTTACTGCAGATGTTTCAGAGATTGTGTAGTTTGGTCCTATATTTCTTTAATTATACATGTACTGCAAGTTTTCCACTGTGGTATTCAGGTCAACTGATATCCAGCAGAAAAGCCAAAAGTTCCTGAAAAATACAGGTTCAGGACTATTAAACAAAGAGTAAATTGAACACTGACAGTAGAGGAAAATAAGCAAAGACAATTGTAGTTTTAAACATAAAATACTTTGTTAAATAAAGTTTTATATTATCTTAACTGACTGCTGGAGTTGAGGGCTGCAACACAAGAGATGAAGACCAAGAAAACAAGAAACAGAAATATGAAATTACCAAACTAAATTATTCTACTGAAACAAGTAAAATCAGGTATCTCACTAGTACACAGACTACATACTTCAACCAGTAGTCCACACACAATCTTAAGCTATTTCAAACCAGGTTGTACAGGTTTCTGTATCGCCTGTTTGGATAGGCTACTTTCCAAGTAGCCCATTTAGAACATGTACATGCTAGCTTTAGATTTAAGAACAGAGGCTGCAGTATGTAACCTTTATGTGGGTGAAAAAAAAGAGATTAACAAATGTTTATGATTTTGAGAGTGCAGTCAATGCAGGTGTGATTAATTACAAGCAGAAATTGCATGGAAATTTAGAAAAATATTATATGAAAATACCCAAATAAAGATATATTCTATACTTGGTATGGAAGGGTGCAGTTTATGGCTATTTAACTCATTACACTACAGTTCATCAGAGTGTACATTATTTCCTAATTTTGTTCCTCTGTACACTGTAGACTTTCCAAAGCTCATGAGTTGTGCATGTTTGACTATTTCATTTAGAGTGTCAGTTATGTGTGATTGGCTGTGTGTATTCTACCATTCATTGCAAGTATCCTAAATTTCATTAATCATACGTGGTTACTTATTTCTGTTTTACTCTTCTCAACAGATTTTCCAGTGATTGCTAATCATATTTGGTTGGGTGATTTTGTACAATTCTTTTTTTTCAAGTATTCCAGGTGTCCTTAATTATATGTAATTATTTTTTTCTGTCCTCTTCACACCAAGCCTTCTAGAGTTCATCAGTTGTATGTGATTGGCTGTTTCTTTCCTAATCTACACTGCAAGTTTTACAGAGTTTATCTGTTGTTTATGGCTACAACTGTTTTGTCTTACCATACACTGCATATATTTCAGGCTAATGAATCATATGTTCTTTGCTATTTCTTTCAGAACATTCTAATGAAAAGTTGTGATGTTAGCTGGTTTTTCTTTGTTCTTGGATGATTTTCTATTAATATTGTTGTGTGTAAGAGATAACTGGGCTTTATATACATTCTCAAAATGTTATTAATATTATCTATTTAAATATAATGGTACTGTCTGTTGTCTGTCCATGTAACTACTTTGCAGGGTGTGGAAGGATCTTCACCAAAATTGGCATGGAGGTTCATTAGGTCCATGCTGTGGTACATACAAATTTTCAGGTTTGTGTTTTTGCATTTTTTACCACTACTTCGACCCCCGTTGATGGATCTTTACCAAATTTGGTATGAAGGTTTCTTGCGGAGATGCATGCAAATTTATGGTTTACATTTTATGTTTTCCAGTTTTTGTGGGCATTTTTTACAATTACATATAAAGGAAGCAAATTTTGATGTCCTAAGATAACCTTTCATTAATCATGAATTTACATACCTTCCATCCAGGGGACGGGTACTCCAGCTAGTTACTCAATACATTAATCCATTCCTTTCCTGATCATCTCCACCATTCAAATGTAAAGCATGAAACTATATAAAACAAGTGCAGCTATACATACATGGTGAGGTTTTGAAAAGTTACGTAAAAAATCACAAGAAAGTCATTTACAAATAAATTAAAATTTTTTTCCCATTTATTCAGTTTCTTCTGTCTTTTATAACCATTACTTACTTATACTTGTAAGTCAGAATTGTTAGGATAAAAACAACAGAGAGAAAAACGTTCGTGTAACAATGAGACAACAATATAGATAGTGTACAGCATTATAATTGTAGGTATGGTTTGGGAATTGTGGCATGCAATATGTTTTCCTGTAAGAAAAAAGACCAGAATGTTGTTACATTCTGTTGTTTATGACAGATTTCCTCTGTTAACCATTCAAATGGAAATGCTTTTTTTGCATATTGAAAACAACTAAGAAATGTGCAGTCTTAATTTTGAGTGGAACTACTACCACTGTTGATTGAAAGAGATGTGGATTACTTTTATATTATTGACTTTAGAACTGTACTGTTTGTTAATCTCTTCATAGACCTACAAAGTGAAAATAGTATTGAATAGTTCAAAACTGTACACATAATTTTGGAAACTCTCAAATCTTTTTAACATATGACAAAGAAGTGTATTTTAAAATGATTAATAAATTAGATATTTATGCCAACGAAAGTGAAAATTAAGGTACTTTTTTGTCATAGAATGTTTTATCTATTTTCAATAAGACAGCTTTTGATTTGACTAGTTTCCAGAAACTGGAAACATGAAAATTGTTTTTGTTTTTTTATAAATAAATAAAAGTTTGAACACTTATTTATTGCTGAAGAAAGACTGTGCCATGTTCAAAATTAATTTTTTTAGTATCTTATATTAAATTACTTCATACAAGTTACAATGCATATGTATTTTCTTCTCTTCTTCTACAATTAAGGTTTTCCTCCCATGTTAGTGATGCAGAAGGCAAGTCATCACTGTGTAATTGGTAAGTTGTTTGGAGGAAAAACTAGTGTTGTTGTTAACATTTCTTTTGAAGTATTATATGGGGAATTGAATTTGGTTTTAGTAGTATGTATCTATTCTACATGTTTATGCTTTGATGATTTTTTTACAATTAACTATTTATTAAGGGACTGTTGTTTATTTTCAATATTTGTGATATAAGTAGAGCCAAGGATTAATACATGCTTCGGCATGGACTGTTTATCAGCCATATTATGAGAAACATTTCAATATGTGACCCTACAGAATTAAATCCTGTTTCTCAGGCAAACAGAAAAAAACACAAGATATGACCAGCTATTTTTTACTAATATCTCCAAAGAACAATTTATGCACATATAAATATTTAAACCAGCTTTACTATATTTCTATCTCATCTTCATTTTCTCTGACATTGCTTTTTAGCAATCTTTCCTCTTGTAAATAACTCTTTTCATAAGCTGTCAACACAAATTGTATAAATACCTTCCTTTTTGTTTCTTAGTTTTGTGTCAGTTTTTTTCTTTTGCCCATGTGAAAAATAGAACAACAGTGATACTGTAGGGAAGGCATTTCAATTTGTATGTTATAAATAAGACTATATCTTAGTAAGTCTCATGGAAAACTACTTAATAGATTGTTTATTAAGAGTATCACCAAATATTGTATAATACAAACAGGGAACATGAATGAGCATTTAAAGGAATTCAGAGAGCATTACAACTAAACAGGGGATCTAAAAACCAATGTTTTTTAAGTCTCTTATAGCAACAATGAGATTATAAGTAGGTGAGTCAGCTAGGGCCAGGCAGAAGTGCTCTAATGGTTAGTATAAGCAAAAAATAGTTTGGTCAGATTGGTTCACATGGAAAAACAAGAAGAATCCTCAATAGCCGTAGCACTTAAAATTCTTTTAGGCAGGATTAGAGTAAATTAGAGACCTTTTTATTTCCCTTTTCATTAGCTATATTTTTGGGCACCAGCAATACCAAGTGTGGGGTGCACATATACCTGATTCGATTATATTACTCATCAAGATCTCTACCAGCCTACCAATAATTTGAAATTCTTTTAGGCAGGATTAGAGTAAATTAATCTATGAGACCTTGGGTGTGGTCAAATACATCAATCAAAAGAGATTTGACCTCCTGAGTCCAAAATTGTAATTCGATCTCAAATTGGTCAAAAGATGACAGAGCTATGAGCTAAAAGTTTGTACTTGAAAAACTCTTAGCCATTTTATGAGCCGCTATGCCACAGCTAAAAATCTACCTGTAACTATCTTTAATACTCTAAATATGACTGAGAGCTTATCATTTAATTTAAATGGTTTGTAAGGTCCATTTTAAAATCATTTTCTGGACTGGAAGGGTGTCACCATTATCTGTTAATTTTTCCTTCTTGTAGTGCAAATACTTAACCAAATTGAATGAAATTTAGAAAAAACCTACTAATAGTATTTACTTTAGGCTTTAAAAAATTCATTTAAATTGATATAATTATTCTATCATTTTTTATGCCATGAAATTTCCAAAAGTTTATTCTGAAACATTTTTTTTAAACTAAAAATACTTCCAACTTAAAATTTCAAATGTTTTTAATATTGATCAGAAAGTTCCATTGATTAATTTTTATTAACATATTTATTTTGATTTTGCTGATATTAGTTGTCACAATTTTTTGCTATAAATCATAAAAAACACCACATAAACTGACAAAGATTTATTGATGACCTAGAATCTGACCTTTCAAATTGGCATCTGGCTAGGCTAGGTAACATTATTTTTGGTCAAGATCAATTTATGTCTTAATAAATAGTTTCTTTTTAGTAAATAATAAGTTATTTATATGCATTGTTTGATTATGATAAATTTCACAATAATATTCAAAAAATAAGAACTTGTGTTATCGGAATACTTTACCTTTACTTACCATGATCGCTAAACCTAACTAAGCTTAATTGGTATCATAGAAGAACATTTTTGTAGCTTTGAAATAAATATAACTTAACATTTAAACATTTTCATGAATGAAAGTAATATCTAAAGAAACTGTAAATAAATTCTTAGATCTGTGGTTTGTTGCTAATTCTGAATATTATAAATATTTGCAACACATTTTTGTAATTTTATGTATCACTGTTATTCATTTATAAATCTTGTGTGTGAGCTTCAATGTGCTTCTAATTTCACTTTTAAGTAACTCTCATGATATTTTGTAATTCACTAAATCTCCCATCATAGCAGTTAATCTTAAACTTAAACTGCTTTTCTTTAATTTTATCCTTTATATTCTTTGTGAGTTAATCTGGTTTATTACTTGAAGCAACCCTTTTTATTTTTGGACAACAAACGTGTGTATCTTGAATATATTTAAAAATTCATTTTTTAAAAGTTTTCCACTTTTCAATATGACCTCCAATGAATTTAGTTGACCGATTCACAACATATAATTATTGCCTCTTCCTTTCAAAATTTGCTTTTTCGAAACTTGGAGTAAAATTTCATTATTCCTAATCTCCATTTTCAGTAAAACATCAAACCTAGTCAAGCAATGATCACTTACAACTGGATTTTTCCCATTCTTTACCCTATCAAACATTTCTTTATTAGAAGTTAACAATAAAGTTAAAATAGTATTGTTTCTAGTAGGTTTCTTGACTAATTGGTGAAGAAATCAATCCTTAACAGCTTCTAAAAACCTGTCTCCCTCATAATGATAACCTTATTAATAGCTGAATTATTTATCTCACTGTAGAGTTTCTCATTAATTTTATGAGTTTCATCTAGTGGTTTGTAACAAATTCTAACTCAGAACCATCTCCCCTTATAACTACTATAGGTACAAATAGATTCAAATATTCTCAACTTGATCAGGATGTAACTCACACTTTACATATAAAGTCACTCTAACCCTCTTTTTATTACTCTATCCCTAATGAATAACCTATAACCCTGTATTCCAAAGAAATTCCTGTCATCAAAATTGTCTACATTTAACCATGTTTCAGTTATTCCCATTAGGTCAAAATCCTCCATTCCAACTAATGTTCTAAAGTAATCTGTTTTTTTTTCTTGTAGTTCCTGCAATACAATAATAACAGTTTAGCTTACTATTAAAACTACTACTGGACTTTGTTCCTACACTATACTTTTTTCTAATGCTTTTTTTTCTCATTATTCTGGCCCTTACCACCCTGTTCCAAGTTTAAAATTACCCTTACAGTTAATTAATAGCCAGCCCCTACTTTATTTAAACCATCCATTTCAACTGAACTGATCCCACAAGTCTAACCAACCAAACTTCTCTTATTAGGCCATAACGACCTACCTATAATTTCATCTCCACATTTAAGTCTTGGCAAGTCTATCTTTGATAGAATCAAATTATTATGACCCTTTTCTTTAAATGTCTTTATCAATCTCATGTACTTACCACTTAGCTCCTCTTAACCACCCTTTCCTACACCATTAACTCCTGTGTGCACTACAAAGACTGCATCACTGCTAGCATCCTTCACTATATCACTTGCTCTGTCAATTATATCCTCCACTCTCTATCCCTGAGTAGCATAATCTAATTCTGTTTTCCATACTTCCCCCACAGACTATCTTATCCATTTGCCGTACTAAAGAATCACTTAAAATTATAACCTTCTTATGTTTCTTATTCCCATTCCTATCTGTCCATTTTATTTTCCTTCCCTCCTTTAGTTCCTCATTTGCACAAGCTAAAGACTGAAATCTGTTACTTAACAAAATCTGCTCAGTATAAGAAATTGTATGTGAAAGTCCAAATCCAAGGCTTATCATGTAGGTGCTATAAATATGGTGTTAACTTAAAAACAATACACATTCCCAGCAAAAATCCTCATACAGACTTATATTTAGAATTCAAGATGAAATTATTTGAATCACTTTATTGAAGCAGATGAAAACTGTTACGAAATAGTTCAGAAAGACTTTCCTGTGTTTCTAAAGCTAGGTAATTCTGAAACTACATAAGGGACAATGCCTGATGTATAAAAATCTGATTTCTTGCCAACTTGTATAAAAATAATAAAGTTATCTTGTGAAATTGTTGTGGTAATGTTTTGTTTCCTTGTGTTATGTAGTCTTTGTAGTGCATAATTCATATAGGTTTTTACTATATTCAGGTTCAGTAAAGCATAGAAAAGAAATGAATGTATAAATCAAGGCAACAGTAGTGATTTCAATTAAACTTACACAATCACCATTTGTAAAATCTTTATTGGTGTGTGTAATGTGTAATTAGAATGTTAATCATAGAAGTTCTGTTTAAAGTAATGTAGATGTAATGGCTTGCATGATTTTCTCTGAAGTGATGGTGCTACAATATATTGTGTAATTTGTCTGTGGAATGTTATAGTTGAAGTAAGAATCTTATTTCTCTTAAAGATTGTTAATGACATTTTTTCTGAACAATTTGTACACACTTTGCTTAGAATATATCTGTCAGTGGTTGGTATATTTTCTATTATTTTTTTTATCTTTATACAGTAATATAATTGTTGTCAATTGGAGTTTCAACAAAGAAATAATTGTTAGTAAGTTTGTTAATATAATTTTTGGCCACAATTATATATATATATACATACATACACATAATAATTCTGACTAAAATAACATTAAAATGTGGATATTTTTGCCACTGTCACTCCAATGGGTATATAGCAGTTTCCAACTCAGAGATGTGAAATGAGCAGCATTCAGATGTATCTTTTAACTCTATCTCCAGTCACTGCTTTGTTCAACACTAGAACCCATATTAGCTGGACATGGTTTATGTTAATTGCATGTACAAGCTAGTTACCAAGTACAAACTGCTTTTCAACTTTACCCATTAAAAAATTAACACACAAATGTGTGTAAACCTGAGCATGAAACTGAAATGTTGTCTACTGCATATGAATTCCATTAAAGATTCAATATCAGTATCTCAAAATAATGAGAAAGAAAAAGATATTGAGAAATGATAGTTACAGTTATTAAATTTAAGACCCTGAGATACACATGAATATCAATAATAGAAAAAAGTATTCAAAAAATGGTGTAATCTGTGGAACCCTCAAACCTAATTATCTAATACTGAGAAATTTGCCCAGTGGTTGTTGCAGTTAACATTTTATTTCTCTTAGCATATTCTAGCAGTTTGCTCATATACTTTTTTAATCTAATTTTTATTGTACTTTGTACAGGGTTTTGCTGAATAAAAATTTGATACAACTTGAATTGTGGTTCTTTTTATTGCTAAATCTTAAGCCACCTAGACAGTAAAGTTCCAGGAGAAAAGTTTGGAATTGGAGGATATTTCTGTCCACAGTGTCACAGCAAGTATTGTGAGCTACCAGTAGAGTGTAAAGCCTGTGGTGAGTTTCAATTTGTGTTGTTTATTAGTAATGGCTAATACTGTAATTATTATGTTTAATTTTGACACCAAACTTCACTGGAAGTATAATTCCTTTTTTTTTAATATTGAATATCTGTTTGTTTTTTATGTTGGAGAAGTATTTAACCTTAATTCTTTATTTTATTTCAGTTTTTTACATTATAAGAGGACTGAAAAATTACATTATTCAAGGATAGAACTGAACAATTTAATCAATTACCTATGAGCAGTGATTACATTGATTAATGTCACATAAACTAATCAATTAATTAAAATTACAATTAAATCAATTAATTAAAATTATTATTAAATCAGTTGTTGCTTAAATAACTAATTGAAATTAGCATTTCCAATTATTACTGGTTTTGATTATTCCAACAATTGATTAATTGAAGTTATGATTAAGTCAATTATCAAGAAAACAATCAACTACTTGAAATTATGATGTCTGATTATTTTGTTTTTGATTATTCTAACTCTCCAACTAATCAAAATATTGCAATTAAGTTTCTTTGTTGTTAAACACAAAGTTGCATAATGGGGGAGGTATACCTCATGGTTTGAGTGTCTTGGATTCAATCCTCTTTGCCACTAAACTTGCTCACCCTGTCTTTGTTATTGCAAAGCTACTAAAGTTGTCTGCCACTGTCACTAATTTTGAACTGCTGAATAGAGATTTAAGGCAACTGGCTGGCTACACCCACCACCAACTCTGGCTACTTAAATGTTAAATAAAGATTAAATTTACCATTTTTTTACACTGTGTTATGTTTCTAACTTATAATTACATAGCTGTATTCTTTTATGTTGTATAAACAGGTGTAGATCCTTGAGAAGGAATCAAGGGGTCTGGACCTTACTTTTTTTTCAGAAATTAATAAGAAAACAGCCATAAGGATAAAAAAGAAACATAAAATGTCAGTGTTTTATTTGATTGGATTATTAATTATCATAAAAGCTTGTTTGATGTTTTCTGAAATCAACACAGCTGGAGTCTACAGTAATCCTCAGCCAATAACCAATTATTAATAGAACAATATGAATGTCTATTGAACATTTTCATGGTATAAATGTATTTTTGTACCTTGGCTTTTTCCAGACAATCTTACAATGTGTCTAAGAATGCAGAGATTTGTTTTTATCAAAGTTAGTATTGTTTAGGACACTTGCAGCTCTTATTACATAACTTGCTGCAGAATGGATTTTTTGTTCTTCAGAAATTAGATTTCGCCTGAGAAAGATCTTTTTCATATCATTGATGATTAAAATAAGTGAAAATGCAAGTGGTATGACTGTACAATGACTTTTCAAAGTTTTCAAAGCAGGCATTCTGTTTATAAGTGAATGCCATAATTTTTCTAAATATGATTATAAATAATTATTTGAAAACATCTATAAAGAAAGTTTAAGTATGATTGAATAGAAGAATAATTTGACTATTATGTAATAGTAAAGTAAATATAAAGGTTTAAGAGTTTCTTTTTTATAACTTCTGTAACCCTTCCTTTCCTTTCCTTTTAATGAATTGAGGAGCTAGTTGTATGTTAAATTATATTCATTTGAAGGTTATATAAATTTTTTGCAATGAGATCAAATAATGTTACATAAAGTATTGTAAGCTTATACAATTTAGAGAATGGTTGAATGGGTAGCAAAGAAAACTTTATTACAAAATTAACACAATATCAGATGTACAGTAATTGAGAAGGTTTTATCATCATCAAGTGCAAATACTTTTACCTAGGCACATAAATGTCAGAGACCTGCAAAACACACGAGGTGAAATTAGTATCTTTATTGCAACAGTACCTCTTTAGTTTCAGGACTTACAGAATAATACAAAAGAATTCTAATTGCAGACACTGAAATCTATAAATCCACTTGTCTTAGGCCTAACATTAGTTAAGCCTTTATTCGATGAAGAGATAAGTTAATGCTGTAACTTGTTTATGTATTTTGCTTTAGTTTAGTTACGACTAAACTGTGTCATACTTGATACTATCAGTAAACAAACTTATTTTTATGACAGCAGAAGTCACACAATGCTGCTGGCATGCGTAATGATTTTCTTGAATGATTGGGGAAGTCCGAGTGTGTTGGAGATGCCCTCTTCGTTAGTATATAAGCCTGGCAGATAAAGCCAGCAGGATGAATGAAGAGAGAGCAA